TTCATCAGACCAGAGAATCTTGTTTCTCACAGTCTGAGGGTCTTTTAGTTGCTTTTTTGCAAATTCTAAGTGTGTTTTCATGTGTCTTAACTGAAGAGAGGATTGAGCCTTGCCACACCACCATAAAGCCCAGATCCGGTGGAGTGTTGCAGTGATGTTTGTCCTTCTGTAAATTTCTTCCATCTCCACATATGATCATGGAGCTCAACTAGAGTGACCATCAGCTTCTTGGTCACCACTCTAACCAAAGCCATTCTCCATCATTTGCTCAGTTTGGCCAGGAGGCCAGCTCTTGGAAGAGACTTGGTTGTTGCAAACATCTTCCATTAAGGGTAACAGAGACTACATGCTTCTGTGAACCTTCAATGAAGCAGAATTTTTTCTGAACTCTTCCACAGATGTGTAGCTTGACGCAAACCTGTTTCTGAGCTCTACGTGCAGTTCTTTTGACCTCAGTGCTTGGTTTTTGCTCTAATATGCATTATCAGCTGTTAGACCTTTTATTAAGACGTGTGTGCCTTTCCAAATCATACCCATTCGACTGAATTTGCCACAGGTTAACTTTACTTAAAGTGTGGTAACATTTACAAGCAAAATGATTGCTCCTGAGCTAAATTTCAACTGTCCCAGATAAGGGTATGAATACTTACGCAATGGAATCATTTAAGTTTTTCATCTGTAATAAATTTGCAAAGATGTTAAAACCTGTTATTTGCTTTGTCATTATAGTGTATGGAGTTTAGATTGATGTGGGAAAAAAAGTAATTTAAAGCAGTTTAACATAAGGCTGCAACATAACAAAACGTGAAAAAATGAGCGTCTGAGCGTGTAATTACCAGATCACATTATTTCCAAGCCTTTAAGTTTCTTCTAAGGCTGTGGGTTTAATGCTCTCTTCACCAGAGTGGTCCGTTCCAATGCTCATGAGATCACTGTGCTTTCCTCTCTCTCTCTCTCTCTCTCTTTCTCTCTGTCAGTACTCCTTTCCTGCCGAGCGCAGGCCTGTTCCTCCCGCACAGAGCATCACTGCACAGTCTCTGCAAAGCAAAACGGTACGCTTTCCCTCTTCTCCACCCACCACCTCCGTCTGTAACTCGCACATCCACAACTTTGCTTTCCTCTCAAACTCTTTGCATTTTTCAGTTGCAAGCCACCAAGGATTCGTTGAGGCTTTGGCTTGCAGATGAGCAGAATGTTTTACATGCAGAGGTTGAGCTGCTCATTGAAAGTCAACATGAAATCAAAATGACCACATTTACTTTCATAACACATACTTCTGGTCTACTCGTGCACGATTCATGAGCGCATGTTATTCCAAAGGTAAAAAATGGTCGTTAGTGTTCAAATATGGCTTGACCTGAAAATCTAGCATGTTTTAGCAGTAAAATAGGTTGCAAATGTCATTTCATGTTGACTTTAAAGGTAAACGAATATTCAAATGTTCATGTAGGAGTATTGCATTGCAGTTGAGTAGGTTTTTCAAGCTTTAGGTCTTGAATTAAACGCCAGAGAGATGAGTGTTTGTGTGTGTGTTTATTGTGACAGGTGAAGCACTAATACCATAAGCTCTTCTTAAAACTATAATTATTATTCTCTTACTTGACGTTTCAGGTTCTGGCGGTCTTAAGCTGCCTTTTTCCCGCTAAGCTTCTGCTTTTATTTATTCATTTTACAGATGCAAAGTACAACTGGCAGAAATTGTCTGCAGAGAGCATTTTAATGTAAAAAACCTGCGGTCACTTGATAAAACATTAATAGAGCTCCTCCATATGTGTTTTACTCATCATCGCTGAAAAGCTGCTGTAAAAATGTCTTTTGTTACACTGCATGAAATTCAATTGAGCACCTTAAACATTTTGGTTTAGGTAAAAGCCTCTTGGAGAGTTTTTATCATCTTTGTTTTTCATGACATAACTTACTTTATTTGGATTAATATAAACCAAGATGAAATGACATACGTAAGATAATCTAGATCCCAGGGTTATTTTCTTCAGATGTCACTTAATTGGATAGCAGAACAAGCTTTTAAGGATAAATTGGCATAAACCTGGGATTTGGTTATGGTTATACATGGTTATGTAGTTTATGCAATTTAGCTGAACTTGGTAGAGCTGGTTAGAAATGATGATTAGATATTACATATTTAATACTACAAATTAATTATTTTATTTACAGATTTTCTACTCCCTGGACCAGTGTCATTTTACTGTTCATATGCTATATACAGTTTTTTTAATTAACTTTTATATTTTGATTTTTCATTTTAAAGTTTTATTAATTTTGTTATGCTTAATTGTATATGTATATTTGTATATACACATACATTCTAGTTAACAGATTTTTACTTTCTATTATTTATATGCTATTTATTTAGTATAGTATTATATGGTATATAGTAGGGATGCACCGATACCACTTTTTCCAGTACTCGCCCAATACCGATACTTTTATTTTTGGTACTTGCCGATACCGAGTACAGATACCGATATTTTTATTGCATTTGTAAATTTTTTAAATATTGGGTACAGAAACCAAAATGGTATGTATAATGTTAGTTGGTTAACTTCATTTTTAATATTATATTCATTGCATACATATACTTCGTAGTAGACATCCTTAACTCCTTTTGTTGTTCTGTTGTCGGTGTTTCTTTGTTTGAATATGGCGCTTTACACATGCTGTGTGGTATCGGCGTTTGGTATCGGGGCATTTTAACGAGTACGAGTACAGGAGACCAGTATCGGGCCCGATACCAATACCGGTATCGGTATCGGTGCATCCCTAGTATATAGTATTTATTAATATTTTAAATGAGATTTTTTTTTTTTTCAGACTACGTTTTTGTAATTTTGTTGTGCTTGATTTTACATTCTTGAATACAAATTTATACTTAAAACTTAATTTAAACTTATTTATATACTATTATAAATAATGTGTATTTTTATATTTTTAATTGTAGTTTTATTAATTTTGTGCTGCTTTATTATACAGTGGTGTGAAAAAGTGTTGACCCCCTTCCTGATTTCTTATTTTTTTGCATGTTTGTCACACTTTAATGTTTCAGATCATCAAACAAATTTAAATATTAGTCAAAGATAACACAAGTAAACTATTCAAGTCAATGTGAACTGGTTTTTGAATTTCTTTTTTTTTTTTTTTTTTTAGTTAAAGTTTCAGTAATTTTGTTGTGCTCTATTTTCCATTCTTTGAAGCAAACTTAGTTATTTATATACTATTATAGTATTTATTATTATTTTAAAATAAAGTTTATTTTTATGTTTTTGTTTTTAATTTTAGTTTTATTAATTTTTAATAATTTGTTAAAGTGTTGTGCTTGATTTTCCATTGTTAATAGAAAATTAAAATTCAAACCAGCTTGTAATTAGTTTCTAGCTCGAGAACTCTGTCATTCACGGTTACTAAACTAGTTTATACAACTTAGCTGGTAGAGCTGGTTAATCATGTTGATGAGATATCACAGGTTTATGTCAGTCTATCCAGCGCATGTCCTCTGTATCAAACATGGCCCCATTTCCCATAACCCCCTTCACGGCGGCCCACACTAACGCTGCTCCTGTCGCCCGCTGCAGCCAGAGGAACTGACCCTGCTGCTCATCAAACTCCGGCGGCAGCAGGCCGAGCTCAACAGCCTCCGTGAGCACACGCTCGCACAGCTGATGCAGCTAAACCTCGATGCCGCCAACCCAAAGGTCAGCCTCGCGGATCGCTAGCCTGTGCATCCCAGAGTAAAGGGCTTGTTAGATTCCCCCGTCAAACCCCGGCCACCCCACAACCCAGTCTGTTCATTTCCAAGTCTGCTAGTTTTCCCATTGCTTCCGCATGCTGTTGTGGATTGGATGATGTCTAAAGAAATAAGTTTCAATGCCAGATTTAGTGCACACTAGCGATCGAAGGTTTGGAATAATTAAGATTCTTGATTAAGATTTTTATGCTTTTATGCTCACCCAGGCTGCATTTAGTAAATAAGTAATAATGTAAAATATTTTACCTTTTAACATGGCTGTTTTCTATGTGAATATCTGTTAAAATGTAATTTATTCCTGTGATCAAAACTGAATTTTCAGCATCATTACTCCAGTCTTCAGTGTCACATGATCCTTCAGAAATCATTATCATATGCTGATTTGCTGCTCAAGAAACATTTCTTACTATTATTAATGTTAAACACAGTTGTGCTGCTTCATCATTTTGAGGAAACTACCATTCAAAAGTAAAAAAAATAATAATAATCATTCTTATTTATAATTTATATTTATAATTTCCCATTTTTGTTGAAAAAAAGCCTTAAAAATGATACTGTATAGATTATGACAGTAAAGACAATTTTAACATTACAAAAGTTTTCTAATTCAAATTAATGTTGTTGTTTCTAAAAAAAAAAAAAAAACATTTATAGCCATAACAGTTCCCACAAAAATATTAAGCATTAATTGAGCAGCAAATCAACTTCTTAGACTGATTTCTGAAGATCATGTGACACTGAAGACTGGAGTAATGACGCTGAAAATTCAGCTTTGATCACAGAAATAAATTACATTTTAAAACATATCAAAATAGAACGGTATTTTAAATTGTAATAATGTTTCATAATTTGACCGTATTGTTGATCAAATAAATGCAAACGTGGTGAGCCTTTATTCAATAAATCTTAACTATTCCAAACTTTTGACCCGCTGTTTGGAGAAACGTCTCTTCCTTTCCACTAACATGTGAAATCCCTTCAGTCCTGTAGGTTTGGATCATGTTTCGTGCGGCTGTTGCATGCATCTGACGCATTTTGAGGAACATGATCAGCAGAAGTTGTGTTTCTGTTTGCAGTCCTCTTTTGATAACTAGATGTTGTCTTTGGTGGGCCCTTTTATGTGCAAGAACCTCATTTCTGATTTGCTCTTCAGCTTGCTTCGTCTCGCTCATAAAAGTGCATGATGAACTTGAGGAGAAAGTGGAGTTTGCAGTTGTTGACTTTGAACGGCTTTTTGAGTTTTTTTCTTTTGCACTTCCCCTGCTCTGAAGCCCACGTCTCTGGTCTTCTCACTGCTCTCCTCTCACCTTCTTTCTCTTGCCGTCTCTAGAGTGAAATCCTTTCCCATCACCTACAGAGGAATCTCGTGTACTTGGACAGCCAGGTGAGGGCCTTTCCTGTTTCTCTCTCTCTCTCATTGTCTTATTTCTCTGGCTACTGTACTTTTATTACAGCGCAGATCAAACGGCCCTCAGTGCATCTGCTGCAGTTCTTTGTTCTGTTGAAGTTCTGTTGAATGCAGATGGTGTCTCTTAAAATAGCAGTTCGTTTAAAGCATTTATAGCAACAAAACATGAGCTGGATTCATTTGTATTGTTTAGTTTGTCAGGCTCAATTCTCAGTGGTAGCCTGCTGTGAACGTATTGTATTTTTTATTTAACTAATAGATCACAGCAGTAACCTGTCTATTTTTAAAGCCCTTGCTTGAGGAAGGACATTTCATGTATAACAGCTCTAAGAATTGACAGAATGAATATTTAGACAAGTATTGAGTAACTCTTCCCATAAAGCATTATGATGTAGTTGAATATATATAATTGCTTTTATATTTTCAATGTCACTCTTAAAGTTTAATAATTTTTATATATTTTTATGTAGCTTTAATTTCTTTAGTTCAGTTTTAGTTTGTCATTTTATTTATTTAACTTATTTTAGTTGCAAAGGCAATATTTCTTTTTCTTTTCTTTTGAGGTTGAGTTCAGTAATTATATTTTATTGAATGTACATGAATGTAGTTGAATAATTCTGTTATATAAATTATAAATATAATTTCTATTTATTTATTTAGAGATTTTCTGCTCTCTGGACCGGTCTTATTAGTGTTCATGTTAATATTATAGTATTTATTACAATTTCAAATGAGCTTTTATTAGTATATTTTAAATTTACATTTTTTTATATTAATAAATTTTTTTTTTTCTTTTTTCTTTTCTTTAAGTTGAATTTAATATTTATATTTTTTTATGTCAGGTTCGTTTCAGTTACTGAAAATGATTTTTAGTAGTTTTTTATGTTTTAGTGTTAGTTAATAGCAAACCAGACTGTTGTAGTTTGAAGTTTTTCTGTAATTCTTACGTAATAAGTAATACTAATACAGGAATATATATTTTTTATTATTATGAAGCAAATCTCAGTGAAGACTGCATCTCTGAATAAACATATCTTGGTGGACAGTTTGATGTTTTAAGTTAAGCTTTTGTCTCCAATGACCCAACTCAGAATAGCATTATTTGAACAAATGTTCTTCACTTTCTTTGACAGGGACCATTTATTGTCTTTTAACATTGTATTGCATTACTGAAGTGCACACAGTCATTATTCTGGAACAGCGAACAGGAAAAACGCATGAGTAAGGCAGACATGTGGTATTTGTGAGGGTCAGAAGCTGTAAAAACACAGTGCTTTGATAATTCCTGTTACTCCTCCTCCTCCTCGTGCACTAGATGAAGGAGAATGAGCCAATAATCTTCATGATTCACACTGTGATTGAGAACTCGGCGCCAAGGCCGCAGCTGTACCAGCAAGTAAGGTCTTGGAACACACGGTTATGCTCCTCCTCTCTCGTGTCATGGGCCCCGCCTCTTTGTTGAAGCTCCACCCCCTCACTGCCCCATCCTGTGTCGGTTTCGCTCCAGCACATCCCATTGGTTCTCCTTGTTGTTGTTGTTTTCTTGTTGAAAGTGGAACTGGTATTGGCATGGCTTGATCGTTCCGTGCGAATCCCAGCTGCTGGTGCTAATGTGCCGTTCATTAGCAATGGCTTCATCCATCACGCCGGTTTTCATGTGTTAGCGCAGACTCGCGTGTGTGACTGGAAACCAGTGTGGTTTACCAAGCCTTTTGACCTCCAGAAGAAAAGCATTGCACAGCTTTTATGAGCTTTAAAGGCCCATTCACATCAGAGTTTTAACAATCATTCTATAAGAATAGAGAAGTCATGACTAAAACGATAACGACACAGATGAACAATATTAGGGGAGTCGTTATTATTGAAAAAAATGACAAAAACATTGACAGCCAATCAAATTCCCACCCAATTACTGCTCAAGTATTTAAAGCAACATACAAAATAATTGTTGTTGGTGTGAACGGGCCTTCAGTAACCAGAAACCCCATTATGTCATGCAAATTGTTCGGTAAGCTTTGGCGGTGCTTTGTAAAGTCAGCGAACAGGTCAACGTTTAAAGTGTCATGTTGCAAACAATTCTGAGTGAATTAAGGATTTATTGGCCATTAAAGCTATTTTTTGCAATGGAAGATATTTAATAATCCTTAATTGTTGTCCTTATGACAATGGGATTATGCTGATTTGAGTGAAACTATAATAAAATAATAACAATAATAATTCCACTGTTATAAGCACCAATATATAGTTTTATTAAAAATAGTGCAAAATGCAGTTTTACTTGTAATAATAATAATGAAAACCAGCGAATTCATTTTTTATTTAAACTTAATGTAAATATAGTTATATTTTGTACGTAATATTAATTTTAGTAGCCTTAAATTACAAGTAAGACATAAATGTATCTTACTAGCCATTGAAACTGTATTGTGAAATAGTTTTATTAAAACTGTATTTTTGTGTGTATTTTATTAGAGTATCACTCTAATAAAATCATATAATAGCTAGATATGTAGCATCATATATGAGCTAGAAAAACATCAAGATTTTGTACATAAAATATTCATATTTTGTACATATTCATTTTAGTAGCTTAATGTGAAAAATATAGGTGATAAATAAATAAACTGTAAGTAACACTGAATTAAACATGAAATTTTGAAGTAGAAAGACTGAAATAGTTTTTTCTTGTAAAATATACTGCAATAACCGTTGTTTTATTTACAACTTCAAAAAAAATAAAAAATCATTTGACTTGTGGCAAAGAAATGTACAAAGTAAAAATTATTAGAAGACCGATAAATAGCGTGAGCTACTTAAACCAGACTGTTATTTTCTGTTGTTGAGATTGCTTGGTTTAAAGTGTTGTTTAGAGAATAATAAAGACTTTATTAGCCATAAATATTTCTTACTAGCCATTAAAACGGTATTTTGCAATATTTTTATTAAAGCTATATTTTTGTGCGTATGACAATGGAATTATTTCACTTATTCTTTTATTATAATTTCACTCATAGCATCAGATATTAGCTATAAAAACATGAAGATTTTGTACATGAAATATTATGTATGTTCATAATTATTTATTCTTTTTAGTAGCTTAGTGAAAAATATTCCATAAATGCACTGAACATTCCCAAAGTGTAATTATTCTTAAGCATAAAACATCCAAAGTATGCATTATTAGGAGACATGCAATTGCTGCAGTTAGATGTCATTTGCAGCAGATAAATAGCGCAAGTTGCTTCCATCAGACTGTAATTCTCACTGTTTGATGGTGCTGATGAAGTTAGCTGGTTTATGTACCGGATGGTCGCATCTTGAGTCTCAGTTGTCTTCGTAAGTGGACTTGAGTTCAGATTTTTCCTCAAATCTCCTGCAGCAGCTTCCTCACACGGTGCTGTGAAATCTCAGAAATCCTGTAGAGTGCGAGCGGCTCGGCGGTGTCCCTGCTGGCCCGCGGCCGAACCTGTGAGGGCTTTCGGGTTTTCATTAGTCACACTAACTGGAGCGCTGACAGACGGTAATTACCTGTAGGGAACATCTACTGCAGCAGACCGACCTCCTGAAACCTCCCACATAGTTTCCAGCACACAATCCGTTCAAATTGTTGAATTCTTTTCTTTGAAATTGTCGCTCAAACTCTGTGTTTGTGTGCCTCTGGTGTCCCGTAGCAGATGTGAACGTGTACGACACGAGCGCTGTTAACAGTTTAGTGATTTTTTTCCTGTTTTTAGCACACCAGATGGTGCTGAAGCAGCTTTATTTCCGTGATGAGATGATTCATATCTACATAAACTCATCCGGCTGTGGAAAAGTGTGAATGAGTGTGTCTGTGCGCTGCAAAAAATAATTTTCTTACTCAGTGTTTTTGTACTGTTTTCTAGTACAAATATCCAAACGTCTTTAAACCAACATATATATAAGTCTTAAAAAATTGTTTAACACAAAAATTATCGCTAACACTTTACTTGAGATATATATATATATATATATATATATATATATATATTGAGATATATATATATATATATATATATATATATATATATATATCAAATACACAAATATATATAACAGAAAGAATACATTTTTATAACAGTGGCATTGTTTAGCTTATTTTTTATACTTTTACTCACAACATCATATATAAGCAGAAAAATGTGTATTCTATATTTTCTACATAAAATGTTAATGATATATTCATATTTCATACATAATATATATTCATGTTATTACCTTAATGTGAAGAATATTCCATAAATGCAATAAAAAAGAAACCGTTTTCACACAGAAATCATATGTAAATTTATTTGAAGCCTTTATATATAATGCATATCTAAATAAGACTTTAAATTAAGAATGTATTGGCTGTAAGTATTTCTTACCAGCCATGAAGACAGTATATTGCAATATTTTTATTAAAATTGCTAATAAAATAGGATTATTTAGCTATTATTTTATCATAGTTTCCATCGTAGCATCATATATGAGCTAGAAAATACAGATTTTGTACATAAAATATTCAAGAAACATTCATATTTCTTACATACTCATTAGATCATTAGTTTAGTTGCCTAATGTGAAGAATATTCCATAAATGCACTGAAAAAAAAAATGGTGAAACATTTTCACTTAGAAATCACTAGTAAATTTACTTGAAGCCTTTGTGTATGATGCATTTTAAAAGTATTTTAATGCAATAATTATGCATTAAATAGTAACAACAGTTTTTAGATGTAACAAGAAATCTGCAAATATTATAATGCATTTTAACTGTTTACAATTATTTATGAAAATATATAATGCATAATAACAAACATTATGGATGCCTTTTATAATACATTATGCATAAAGGTTTCAAGTGAAGTGTTCCAAAATATCATAAATGGGGTCAGAAAAATGAACTTGAATAGCAATTTTATTTTTCTGGCCATATTGGCAGATATTTTTTTTATTATTATTTTAAACATTAACCTACCTTCTTTTGAAACATATTTTAAAAATGTAGGCTTAAATTCTGTCATTTTGGTTCTCAAGTAAATCTTTTTTGATTCAAGAATATTTAGCTACTTGTGCTGGAAAACAAGACAAAAATACTGAGTAAGGAAATCATTTTCTGCAGTGTGGATCTATAGAAAACGTTCCCGTTTGCTTCCTCCGAACTGTTTGGATGGAGTTTGCATGTTTCATGTGGATTGTGTGGTTGGTGTCAGTCCCAGTGCTGCTGTATACAATGTGACTGTATATAAAGATCCCTGCTGCACAGCACCACACATTTATATTACACCAGCTGCAAGTGTTCGAGGATTTACTGAAGTTACTGTTGCACAAAAGTTCATTATTTAAAGACTAAATTTGTTTTTGCCTTCATTTGACAGCATATTGACGAGTTGCATGTACAGCAGTAGTAAATCAACTGTACACAGGCTCATGTCGCTTGCTCCATCGCTTCATGTGCAGACTAGAGCGGCGTGTAACACTTTCTAGGATTTATTATACAATGCATATCATATCTTACATTATTTTCTCTCATTTCAGCAGATGAGTCCTGAAGAGTACAGAGAAAACACCTACTCGTACAGACCCGAGGAGCTGGACATCGATGTAAGCTGTCTCTCTTACTGTCAACTGATCGTTTGCATGATTGTATGATTACATTGTGACAAATATTATTTGAGTTTGGGCAAAAAAACTGTTATTTACAGCAATTTATCATTAGGGGTGAAGCTTGAATTATGAAACCTGAAGCATGAATGATTAAACATAAATCAGTTTAAAACTACTTTTCAGGCAAATAGGCAAATTTAAAATGAAAATATTTATACATTTTAATTTAGTTTAAAAATTAAATTCAGTAATTCATATTTTAAAATGTAGTTATTTGTAAAATAACCTGTAACATTTTAACATCATTACTAAACATTGCTAACATTTAAAATAGCATTTTTTTTACTTTTTTTTTTCTTGACCAATTTTATTTATTTTTTTATTTTTTTAATCTTTGCCAGCTAAGTTAAAAATGCTGATGAATAGTCTTCAAGATGTATTTATAGCATGTTAGTGGATGATCATTAATTTATCAAGCTATAACAACAATGTTCGAAGGCATGAATAGAGATGAATATGGAATATGGACTAAATATGGAATCATAAAACTTTTACTGAAGTCTGAGAGCAAAGTAAGAATAAATTACTGCTCTGTACGTCATTTAAAGCTTTTCAGGGTGCTGAAACATACCCATTATTCTGTCATAATTATTGGTGTTGTCTTTACATTTTGATGTTTCATATGACACCAGGAAGGAAAAACTGGTATTTGATTTGATTAGATTTTTGTATAATTATTATAATTATTCTACATGCCATTTTTATGACCTAACATTCACTGAAGACTGAATCTTTCCCATTATTACATCATAATTATATATATATGTATTTATGTATGTACAGTACCGTTCAAAAGTTTGGGATCAGTAAGACTTGTAATTTTTTAAGAAGTCTCTTCTGCTCATCAAGGCTGCATTTATTTGATAAAAAATACAAAAAAAAACTGTAATCTTGCAAAATATTACAATATAAAATAATGGTTTCTATTTTAATACACTTTAAAATATAATTTATTTCTGTGATGCAAAGCTGAATTTCCATCAGTCATTACTCCAGTCTAAAGTGTCACATGATCCTTCAGAAATCATTATCATATGCTGATTTATTATTAAAATTATCAATGTTGGCAACAATTGTGCTGACAAATATTTTTTGGGAACCTGTGATACTTTTTTCAGGATTCTTTGATGAATAAAAAGTTAAAAAGAACAGCATTTATTCAAAATATAAATCTTTTCTAACAATATAAATCTTTGCTATCACTTCTTATCAATTGAACGCATCCTTGCTGAATAAAAGTTTTAATTTCTTTCAAAAAAAGAAAGAATAAAAATGTACCAACCCCAAACTTTTGAACTGTAGTGTATATTGTCAGAAAAGATTTCTATTTTAAATAAACACTCTTCTTTTTAACTTTTTATTCATCAAAGAATCCTGAAAAAGTATCGCAGTTTCCAAAAAACATATTTGGCAGCACAACTGTTGCCAACATT